CCCGGTGCATGAGGCACACTTGGGACCAGAAGTTTCTTCGGGGCTTGTTTTTAATGAAAAACGGTATGCAGTACTGAGAGCCTTAGTGTAGGGAGCAGATGGCCTGACGGCCGGCCCAGTCTCCACTTAACCCAGTAAATTAAACTTTGTGTTTGCGTTTTCTTTAAAAATATCTAGTTATGACTGTGCCTTGAAATTGTGTTGTTTTAACGAAATAATGTGTGAGGTGTTCAAATCCACACTTGCTCACCCTACTCTTTGAGATTTACGAGGGTCTGTGATGACTTTCTTCTTTTTCTGAGTGAATCACTAGTCTTGGATTAGTTCTGGTTGGTGTTGTGACAATACAGGTCTGCACCATGAGACCTGGCTAGCCGCATGCACTTTTTCTTTGCAGTATATGTTTATATAAAAGGAGTAAATTCTATTCTATTGGCCACCTTTTGTTTTTCAAGAAAGACCCTGGGTAGTTAGCTTCTGCACAGATCGCCTCATTTCTTTTTAAGGGGATCATAAACTTCTCCGTTTTGTAAAATTGGGCCTCTTCTTGCCTTGTCCCTCCCCTTTGATGAATGCATGTGTGATTCCTACCCTTGCTTGCAGGAAGGAGTAGGTCACATACATGCTACTGCCCTTGTTTCTACAAGTGGTCTTGCACACACACACACACACACACACACACACACACACACACACACACCTTCTTTTTTCAATTCTGACTGTCAAATTCTTGAGGACTTTCAGACCACAGGACTTACATGGCTGCATACCCAAAGAAAGGATGTTTGAAGGCAACAAGAACAAATTGAAAATCCAAATAATATATCCCATGTGAGTGCCCACAGGGACAGATGAGTCAGATCAAGGTGGCAGGCTACTAAAAATGAAGTTATTTGTGAGCAAATCAACACTGAGTACCTGCTCAGTGACAACATTGTAGAGCACAGTTCATGGAAGGGTCCTATGTAGTATGATCAATTTGCTAATAGTAATTTAGAAGCCTGGGAACAAGAGACCCAGGGGTGCTGAGACTTCTAAATGCTGACAGGTTATTTATTGAAAGAGAATGTGCTACAACTGTGGCCTAGCCTGGGACTCTGTCCCTGCCATTGGAACAAGGCCTACTAACCACCTTCATGACAACAGAGATGCCCTTCTGCCCTTCCAGCAGCCTTCACTCTCTTTGCTCCAGCACAAAGTTTTATGTTGACAGGTACACAAACAGGGGACTTGGGAAGCTGCCCACAGGGCTGTACTAGTGCACTATGTAGCAGCCCATGAGCTTGGGCTGCTCTGTTCACGAATTCACGAAAAGGCAATGACACCTGCTGATGTCAATGAATGCCTAGAAAGTATTCTGCAGCAACTTAAGTGCCTGCATTCCCGAAACCCTGGGACATGGGGGCTCCTCATACAAGGGGGAAAAGGACCATAAAACCCAGTGAAGCATACTACAGAGCTGACTTCAGTAATGATAGCTTGATGGCATCTCAGAGGCCTTTGTGGTAACCAGTCTGTACCACCTGCAGCCTACCCTGGATGAATCACTGCCCTCTCCCCAAAC